TGAGGACTCAAGAAAGCCTCACAAATTCAAACTAACTGCAGGGAGGGTAATTGGCTGAACTACTGGAACTTGTATTACAAAATATTTTAGGATATATTTATTTGGATAATTCCTAATGTATCTTCAACCACAGGTTATTAAGTATGTCAGGAATAGGTTTCAAGAGCCCGCTTAAATACATAGATAAATATTATTTGCATATACTGTATCATGTGCCAGAATATTAAAATTAATTTAACACATTCTCTATATTCCTTCTTGAAATATTCACTTCTGCAAACCATTTCTCCCCTGAAAATACGAGCATTAGCACTAGCTCTGAGTTAGTGGAAGATAGATTAATGCTGCATTAATGAGATTATACTGCAAAAAGTCTGGTCAGTCTAAATCTCTAACCTAGTCCATGAGAGTGCCACTCAGCAAAATACATGTCACCTATGTCTTGCATTTAACTATTTCCTTTGATATAGCTGGTTGACATTACTATTCACATTATGATTGAACAGGGTGGCTAGGTAGGGTACATTCTCTCTATTGCCTCAAAATGCAATTCCCTTTTAACTTATTAGCCCAGCCTTTTATCTATACATAGAATAAATACTTCCTTCTTGTATACTTAATTAATTTTTGCTTAGTCATTGTTTTTCATCAAATATTCCACAAAGCAGGCATATCTGACATTCTTGGCTACCCTCTCTTCTTCCTTGACAACAGCCAGAATCTATTTGAATATCCACCCTTTCCACACACTACAAAGGGTGAATCCTATCCAAGGCCAGCTTGTGATTGACTGAGACATGGGAAAGTGAGCAAAATTCGGCTAGAGGGTTTCTGGGGCAAGTGTTTCCACTCTTGAAAAGTTGTAAGACAAATGAGAAAGGCTCTCTCTACTTTCACTGGATGTTATTGTGTCTAGATATGATGCCTGGAACTGCAGCAGCCATAACTATGAGGTTAGCTAGTTGGGGCAGAAAAAAGCACCTGGACCAAGGTTGCTGTCAGTGAGCCATCAACTTAACCAATTACACAAAATCTCTATTTACAGATTTCTAGTTGTATGAAATAATAGCTGTCTTCCTAGGTCTAGCAAGTTGCATTTTCTATTGCTTAAAGCTGGAAGTATCTAAAGAGGACAGCAGGAAATATGACTATACTTCATTTTAATTTATTTTTCAAAATATATCAATTATCTGTGATCACCAGGTATTGTTCTAGAAACTAGGGATAGAGCAATAAATAGTCAAATCTCTACCTCTAGACTATGTTCTAGTGAGGAATTTGCTTTGCATGATGCCATGAAGTGGGAGAGAAGACACCCGTGCCACAGAATGAGAAGAAAATTGCATTTATCATGCATCAGGACACCTGTCGAAGGCTCTCTCGTGTAATCACCAAAGTCATGTGGTAAAGTCATTATTAGGTTTCCCATCTTGCCAAAGAGGATGCTGGAACTCAGAGTTCGTAAGCAGCAGAGCCAGGATGAGAAGCCAGATCTATCAACAACCCTGACACTCTTTCAGCCCTCCTGGCCCATCAAGCCAGCAGGGTGGGGAATGGGTCACAATGGCAGAGAAATGGAACACCACAGAGCAGATGTTATTGTGCCGGATGAGGCCACATCAAGGACATTTCTGTCTCCTACCTGGGCTCACACCAATGTGTGCCCTGAAAGGACAGTAAACAGGACAAGGCAGTAAAATTCAAATAGATGGACATCTAGCAACTCTGAGATAAACACTCAGAGCCTTTGATGAGCTGGTGGCAGGACAGGGAAGAGTGACGTTGATGTCTTCAAGGCTCTGTGATTTCCTGGCCTGTCAGCTCTGTTTCAGGCTTTCCTACAAGGGATGGGGTGCATGCAACATGAAAGACAAAAACAAAGCACTTCGGACCACAGACAGGCTGATAAAAGGAGGTGCCATATCACTCAAGAACTGTGTTTTGCAATGATGCCAAGTAAAGGAATCCTTCCAAAAATTTATGCTTGGGTGCTACCGAGTGACATAATAATTGCGGCTTGTGTTTATTGGGCACTTATACATACCAGGCAGTATGTTAAGTTCTTTCTCATAAGATCATATTATGAAGTTAATTCTATTGGCATTCCTGGTTTTACAGATGAGGAAACCAAGACAAAGAGCTTGAGAAATTTGGCCCAATGTCTCAGAACAAATAAGGGGTAGTCAGGGTTTCCACCAAGTCTGTCTCTTAACTACTGTTGTACATTTCCTGCTACAAACGTTTTTGGAGCTTTGAGACCCCTGGGCTTGCATTCTCCCTCTGATCTAGAGCATGTTTTTCAGCTACCAAAGGTGAAGCACCAATGTGCTTGCTTGTCTGTCTCTCTGTTTCACATGGACTGATACAGAGTCCTAATTCGGTAGAGTCCACCGTGTAAGACCCACACCTGACCTTTTCTATGTCCTACAAGACCATCTCTTGACTACTACAGTACAGGAATATCCAATCAGGACAGAGATTTCCAAACCTCCTTTCAGTTTCTGTATTTGCTTCATTGTGGACCAGCACAGACAGTACACAGAGGGCCACTGGCCCAGACCACAGTGCTCACAGCACTGATATAGGACACTTAACCTACAGCTGCCTCACCCTGGAGAGGCAAGAAGGACCATTTAGTAATGAGAATTTGTATATATATATATGTCTATCTCCAAGAAGAAAGCCTAACATTCAGTACTGGAGATTAAACCTAATGCTATATCATCAGCTCTTTTTCCCTTTCTTTCTTCCTTCCTTTCTTCCTTCCTTCTTTTCTTTTCGACAGTCTAAGTCCCTAAATTGCCTTAATTGGGCTCAAACTTCTGCCTAGTTTCCCTGAGTGCTAGGATTCAGGTGTATGCCACCACACTGAGTTTCATGTTACAAATCAGAGATGCAAGTGTCAAAGAGTAGAAGAACGAAATAATGATAATAATTTTAGTGAAAGCATTCAATGGGATAGTACATGCAGAGCAATTGAGGGCCATGTGACTCAGATCAGACTTCCATAACAAAATGCCATAGCTTGGGTGGCTTAAACAACAGACATTTATTTTATCTGGAGGCTGGGATCCCTGATCAAGGACCTACAGGGATGGTTCCTAACAAGGGCTTATTTCCTGCCTTGAAGAAACTTCCTCCAGTGTCCTCACACAGCAGTGAGGGAGTGAGCTCTCTATTGTCACTTTTGATAAGGTCACTAACTATAACCAATAAGGCCCTCACCCTTATGACCTCCTTTAACCTAATTCCATCCATAAAGGGCCTGTCTTCCAAAAACAATGACACTGAGGACTTAGGCTTTAATGTATGAATTTTGGGAATACATAATTCACTCCATAGAGGAGTGTTAGTTATTAAAGTTTTAATGGGAGAAAATACTTATAATGTTTAATAGAAAATAAGATAAGCACACAAAATTATATGTCACTGTACCATATTACCTCTCACATCAAAATCTACTACTAAGAAAAGGCTTTACACAAAAGCCTTATCCTTAATTGTACATTGGTGCATCATTTTAGCTGGCAGCTTTCACTAAACTTTTTTCATAGTGTACTTATCTCTTTCACTTATCTAAGAAAGGTGTTATAAATTCATTCTCATTAAAGCGTAACTAGCTGAGTATGGTGCCCACTTGTAGTCCCAGCACTCAGGAGTCTGAGGCAGGAAGATCACTGAGTTCAAGGCCAGCCTGGGCTACACAGTGAGTTCAAGGGCAGCCCATGCTACATAATGAGACCCAGTCTCAAAAAAAAAAAAAAAAAAAAAAAAAAAAAAAAAAAAAAAAAAAAAAAAAAGGGATAAAAAAAAAAAAAAAAAAAAGAAAAAGAAAAAAGAAAAAAAAGAAAGAAAGAAAGTGTAAATGATTAGTAACCTTTACAATATCCCAGGAAATATTTGTTTGCCTTTTAATAAGAGACATAATTAGTTGTTAGGAATTCCTTGTCAGACTGTAGTTGTTAGCTATGCAATAGTACTTTGAAATCAGGCAACAAATGAGGCTTTTTGGAGTCTCAGATATTATGTGGTACAAGTCTCCCAAGCCTAGCAAATGAGAAAACTAGAGTCTTTGCCTATACCTTCACTACATGAGACCAAATATATACATGGCTGCTTCATTCATCCACTTGGGAGCTGTATATGAGGAATCTTTTAATTATAGTATTCAGGATTTAAAACTCACCTACTTCCCAAAAGAATTTGAAAACACTTAAGAAAGTTAAAATAATTTGGTTAAAAACAGAATAGAGTTTACAGTGGCCAAAAGATAAACATAAATATATTACTTCCATGGAGCAATGAATTTAGTTTCCCTCCCAAGACACGGTATTATTTTTTAGCAATGAAAACATTGGAATTGATTGTATCCCCCCTAGTGCTTCCCACAGTAGGTGTTCAAAACGAACAAATTTAATCAAAGTGCACCAACTTTAAGGATTAGCTGTTTCTCCCTCAGGAAATTTGAGGAAATCAATATCCAAATTACAAAGTATTTTGTAAATTCCAAAGCAATAGTTTATTCTTATCATCACTTTATTTTTCCACTAAGGCATTTAAAGCCTGAAATACATTATGCATTATCACTTTATAACGTATTTAGAACTCAACAGACTTCCCTTCCCCTCACCTCCCCATCAGATGCTCCACATAGGTCAAATTTGGTGTCAAGAAAATTAAAGTGTTATTTTATTATACAAACTAATTGTTTCTATATTAAAAGGCCATTATGCTGAATCAGTTATGTTGGTGATTATGCCATTAAGAATGTGGGGCTATCAGTTTAGCTGAATGCCCATGTTCATGAAAATCTCCTTTAAGCTCTCCTAAATGTGGCAAATCATTCTTAACTGGGTACTCCAAATGGTCTGGATACCTCAGATGTATTTTTCTAAGCCATTAACACATTGAAGCCCCTTCCCCAATTCCCCGGTGGATCATTAATTAACAGGCTAAGAAGAAAGAATCAGGCTTCCCATTGTGAAGTGGCTGGAACTAACCTTTCAGCCATGATGGTGCTCAGAATCAGCCAGCCTTTGGAGAGCTCTTGTTCACATCAAATGTGCTATGATAAGAAGTGGGGAGGAGAGGCGTTATTTGAATAGTGCCTTTAGAGTCTTTTTATTAAAACAATCTGCTGTATATGAATATTTCTTTGAAAGCCTCAACAGCATCAAGGAATTTTGAGGCAAATTCATTAACTTGATCTTTAAGAAGTTCCTGTATTTGATGGATTTGGAGATTCAATGCTTACAAATCCTGCTGGGTTTTCTCTTTTACAGATGGGGGAAAGACACTTAGACAAATCTACCCAAACCCTCATGGCATCTTAAAAGCTATATCAAAATTGAGTTTGTCACTAATACACAGGCTCCTATCATAGACCAACTTCCCAAAGCCACAAAAACCCAGCTTCAAGCTTACATTTTACACTGGGGTAACTTGTCTCAGTGCCTAAGAACTAAATGGTTAATTATAAAGCAATGAAACTTTGTAAAATTCTCAGAAATAAACAGGCAAAATCTATTTGTGACACACACATGTGCACGCGCGCGCACACACACACACACACACACACACACTCAAAGAAATCCTGTCTTTGTTTCACATAAGGCTCAGAATCTTGAAGAATTCTTCCCAAATTAACCTAAACTTTTATTTAAATATAAATTATACAATTCTAATGCAAATTCCAGCAGGATCTTTTTGAAACTTTGAAAATTTATTCTAATGTTCATCTAGAAGAACAAACATTTTTAAAAAATTCTTAAAACAAATAAAAATAAGATTTAAATTTGTGGTGCTGCCTCAGAAATAGACAAAAGATTAGATGACCCACAGTAGGACCCAGAAAGTATATGTGGACATTCAGTACATAGTCAAAGAAGCATTTTAGATCAGTGGGACTAAGATAAATTATTCAAGAAATAGTCTTGAAAAAGCTTGCTACCCATTTGGAAAAAAATAAATAGAGCTGGATCCCAGCCTCATTCTTTATACTGAGTTAAATTCCAGTGGGATCAACAATTTAAATGTAAAAATTGGAACAGTAAAAGTAATAGGGAAAAAACAGATGAAGATTTTTATTACCCAGAAAAAAATGACAGCCTTTCTTATCATGAGTCAAAGGCCAGAAATGAAAAGAGGGAAAGCTTGACAAATTTTACTTCATAAAAAATGTAAAGCTTCCATAAGGTAAAAAAAAAAAAAAGACAAATGATAATCCGGGGAAAATATTTACAACAGAGATGATTTCTAAAAGGTTACCATCACAAATCCTTAAAAAGGAATATAAATCTTTATATTCTAAGATTGTTTAATTGTTTACAATGAACATAGAATATTTTTCTATTGAGAATAAAAAAGCTGTTTTTATTTTTTGAAGAAGTATTTATTTAACCATACTTACTTCCTCTAGCATATAATTCTCAATATTTAAAGGAACCAAACAAAAAGTTTAGTTGTACATTGTTAACTCCTAAACACAGGGATTCTCAAAACTGGATGTTTAAGAATTGCTCAGGAACATTTTATTGTTGGTTTTGGGATAGAAGAATTTACCTTTCAAAGAACTGCCCCCTTTGACTCATCACTTTAGTTGCCCCTTTAGAGCCGACGCTAAAATGTTGCCAAATGAATTTATAATCTAGATTTTTATCATCGGTCTCATACACTTTATGCCAGGAAAATAATTCCAGGAAATGACACTGAATTGTCTGTAGCTCCATGGTGTGAAGTATGGTGACTGGGTCTTCCTCAGTTGAGAGACTCTTATAGGAACTCAATCTTCAGTGTGCAGTTTCAATTTCATTTTTTTAAAAATGCCACATGTTTTCTAGCATGGAAAAAAATGTCTGATTTGATCTTGGAATATTCCTGCCTCACCACAACAATCTGATGGTTCTACAAACTTGGACAGACCTTTGCAAGTTTTTATTGGCCTCTTCTTCCTCAGACTTTAAGTGTTGAGACACTAGTACAGTTCATCAGGTCCATGCTACTTAAAGTTGTCTTGTTAGATGAGAAAGCTGAAATTTCAAGTTAATTAACAAGTCTGTATTATGAGAGATCTTCCAATAATTGTTTTTATAAAGGATTCAAAGCCTTAAAATTTATCATTTTTTCCTAATTATTTCCTTTTTGGTTTGTTTTAGTGACAAGAAATATGATCCTATCACCTACATATTTAGGCTTATATCATTTCTCTTTTCATACATAGGTATTAATATGCTAAATTTTTTTAAATCCCATAGTGTTTTTATTGTTTATTTAATATTAGGTCCTTCATTCCTTCTCATTCAATTAATCCTTCTTGAGCACCTAGATATGCTTGTTACTTTGCTAGAATATGGGTATATAAATATTTTTTGAACACTAAATTCTGAGAGATATAACTTTCTTCTTTCTCTAGCTGCTCCAAGAAGGAGTCAAATTCCACAATTGCAACATAGCTGCAAAAATATCAAAAACTACTAATAGACTTAGTAATTTTGGTAAAGGCCTCGAAAAAAAAAAAAACTTCAGGATGATATCTTACTAGTTGAAGACAAATAGCACTTTTTTATTGTTTTTAGAATTTCTTTTTGTAAGCTTATGACTTTTTTCCTTTTTTTTTTTTTTTTTTTTAAGTTTAGTATTCTTGAAACAGAGTCTCATATGTAGTTCAGGCCAGCCTTGAACTATGTAGCCCAGGCGGGCCTCAAACTCAGCCTCCAGCCTCTGAAGATGTGCCCCACCACATCCATCTAAACAGCATTACTTTCACCTGTATTTATGGCTTCAAATGGATACTCTTGGCTCTACAGGTCTTCACTGGTGTAGAAATACTTAAATTTCTTGACACCAGTGACATGTATGATATATTCTGCAGCTTCTCTACTTCATACTGGTTGGGGGACTTTCTTCTTCATAGTGACCAAAGAACAATCTTTACAAGTAGATGATTGATGAAAGATTCTGATGTCTACAAAGACTACAGGTTCCAATAGTTCTGACAGTAACTTGATCCTCCTTGCCAAAGGTAATGAAGGATTCATGGAAAGTCCCAGCTGACTTCCAAATGAGTTTTATGTAATTCTTCCAATTTTTAGACTCAGAGTTTTTGTTTTGTTTTTGTTTGTTTGTTTGTTTTTTGTACCGGGGATTGAACTCGGGTCCTTGCGTTTGCAAGGAAGGCCACCAAACCGCTGAGCTAAATCCCCGGCCCAGAGTTTTTTAAATTGTATCTGAGGTTGTCTAGAAGAAAACAAAACAAACACAAGCAGACCACACATAGAACAAAATACATGCCATTATATTTCTCATGATTAGGGACTCACCTGGGATATTAATTGGTGAATTCTTTAAGTATTGAAAAGGATTGTCATGCCAGCCCTATGAGTAAACTGTTTGCAGTCTTAAATTTTACAAAGGAAACCAAGAAGTCAGAGGAGTTCTGCTAAAAGCTCACAGACTCCACCATTCATCCCACACACTGATACTGGGAATTTCCAGAATCACTTCTGTGAGACCATCCCATACATGGAATCCTGAACCAAATGTAATATTGTTGCTATGGAGCAAGACCTGCCCAGTGAGAATAAAATCCTAATTTTCTCAGAAGTCGAAAGGCAGCAAATGGTTGTTGACAATATAAGAGAAAGAACTATAACTTCTCAACAAATATTTTCCAAATGATAAATCGATGTGATCTAATTCCAATTCTCCCATGTTGATAGGCTATTACAAAAATTCAACGGATCTCAGTGTGATTTGTGGCTCAATCATTTTTTTATCTTGACTAACAGGACTTCCTACTTTGTAGTCTGACTTCCACACTTCAATGCATTTATCAAATCCTCGGTGCTGAGCTCTACCCACAAAGTTGAGCAGAGAACTTCACAGGGAAAATTCACTCTCACACATCAGAAGTGTCCTCTGTGATCAAATGCCATGCTGGCCTGGAGTGGGAAAATAGGCACACAACTGTGAGTTCGAGTGTACGATGGCTAACTTAGCAATGTGTAACAATATTTAAATATCTGTCTCATTGTCCCAGTGTTTCTACTGCTAAAAACTTATACTATGAGCATACTTGTACAAATTTATCAACGAAAAAGTATGAGGATATTCATCATAGTGATGACTGAAACAGCATGCAAATTTAAAAAGGGTTATATCCACACCCCAGAATTCCATGCAATTGTTACAAAGTGTGTAACAGATACTGATGTGCCTGAGGAGAGATATTTAATGTATCATTAAGAAAAGTATGACATTGAAGAGTAATGTTGCCATCAACCTATTTGCATAATAAAAAGTAGAGACATACATGTATATGGATATGTATAAAAATTACAAGAAGAAGCTGGACATGGTGACCAATGCCTGTAATTCCAGAACTCTGGGAGGCTAAGTCAGAAGGATCAAAAGTTCAAGTTCACCCTAGGCAAATTAGCAACTTAGGGAGACTCTGTCTTGAAATACAAAATTTTTATAGGGCTGGGGATGTAACTCAGTTGAAAGTTCTGGGTTCAATTCCCAGTACCACAAACAAACTTTGGGGAATATTATACAAAAATATTAATAGTGGTTGTAATAGTGGTTAGTATAAAAGTGAGATATGCAAGGTAAATAAATTTTATCTTTTATTTCTTACAGCTCAGCAGTGTTTGAATTATTTTATTATTAAATATATTACTTTTATGTTTTTAGAAGCACTGTCCATTCTTACCACCTTCTTATATTATCTGAACTAGTTTCAGCCACAAAGTTTTCTCAGAACTAAGATTATTTGTTTTATATTAGTTCTCTCCCAAATGAATATTTCCCAAGCATATCTTCCAAAACCACTTTTTTCTCGTTAAAGATGACCTTTCCTACCTCTTGAGCTTATAATTAACCAGATGAAACTACCAGTACGAAGACCCCTCTGATCCAGGTAGTATTTCCCAAAAAGTTCATGGGGGGGGATGTTAACTCAGCTGTATCAGACACATCATCAGACATTGGCAGTGCTACAGTGTTATGATGCAGGAGGTCAAAGACCACTGTGCCCTACACTGAGAGTCACAGTAGGACTTATCTGGGGCAGCTCTGGTTCTGCCATTAGGACCATGAGCACTCAGATCTCAAGATATGGCCATTATCCCCGGATCATTGCCACGATAGACTCAAACAACTCCAGTCTATCGTGTCAATGTGTATTCAGGGAGTCTTTACCGCATGGATCATTGGCAAGCTGCACCATAACAGCCCTGTAGGAGCCATGGCTATGTGTGGAATCAATGCACACTCGAGGACTCCCCCGTGCCTGGATCATTTGCAGCGCATCGTGTCAATGCATACTTCGGGAGCCCTTACTCCTCAGCCTGCAAGTGCTGAGGCCCAATGTACACCCAAAATACTTATGAAATAGTTGTTACACTGCATACACAGTATTCACTTTTCTAAATAGCATGTCAGCAAGTTTAATGTGCAACAAATAACTCCTAAATGACACAAAACACTCCTAGAGGCCCAACTTCATACATGGACCATTAGCCCGTGGAATTGTGGCATGGTTGCCGGAAAGTGCAAACAAAGGGACAAGGGACAGATAGTTTTGCCAGGTAAACCACTATCTCTGATCAGCGTTGTCTGGACTTTTTATATAGAGCCAACTACTATTTTCTTGGGCATTCAATGTCTAAGATCCAAAAGACTTCCTTGCTTCTGTTCCAAACCATCTAGCGTCAGGTGAGAAGGCAGGGTTAGAGCTACAAAGCTCCTCAGGTCTGCGGCCTCCTCACCAGCATTGTCCAACACAGAACACAAAGCACACGTCATTTTACATGTTATTTGTAGCCATGTTTCTTAAAGAGTAAAAAAAAACATTTAACTGATTCTAGTGCTATATTCTATTTCATTCAGTATATCCAAAATATTATTTAAATAACAGGTCAATACTTTAAAATGATCCATGACAGGGTTATATTCTTTCCATACCAAACCGAATCACCTTTGCAACCCAGTGTGCATTTTCCACTCGGAGAGCGTCTCCATGTGGACCGGCCACACTTCAGGTTCCAGGTACTCAGGGCTGCCTTGGTGGCTGCACGCTGAGAGGCCTAGGGAAATGAGTCCTGGAGCTTAATGTTCATTGTCTCCCTTCAACTACCTATCTCAAGGCAAGTGTGTGTCTGTCTTTCCACCTCATTTCCTTACCAGCGCTGCAACAGCCTTTTCCCAGCAGCCTGAGTGGATGGGCACATTTAGGTTTCTGCAATCATAAAAATGACCACAAATATGCATACAGAAGGGAAAGAAAATGACTTCAGGCCCGTATGATAATGCAGTATTAGGTCATCTTTCTCGGAGATGGAGCTGAAGAGGAGAGGAGGGGGTGGCTGCGGGGAGAAGGGAAAGTGAGGGCGGGCAGGGCGTGAGGGTGAGGGTGGTGGCCTCGCAGCCATTATGCCGCCCGCAGGGCAAGGGGGCCGACCGTCTCAACTCATCTCGGGGTTTGCGGGGTTGCTGGCCGTCACTAGCCTCGCGAGGGTGCTCGCTATCTGGGCTTGAGTCTTGCCACACACACAAAGCGGGAGGGAGGAGAGGAGAGGGAGACAGAGACAAAGACATCGTGAGCCCGGGAAGCGGGAGCGGGAGCCGGGCGCCCGCGGCTGTGG